TCTGTATTTTTTATTTCAAATATTAAACTTAATTCTTATATAGGATCCAAATTAAGACAATCAGTAGATGCATTACTACTTAAACAAAAATTGACTACGCTACAAATAAACACTACATTATCATCATCATCACATTCAAACAACAACACCACCACCACCACATCAACGTCATTTTCACAACAGAAACAAGAGAGATCACACCATCTTCACATAATAATGATGATGACATGAAGATTGGCGACGCCCCGACACCTCCATCAATACCACAATTGTCACCTCCATCTTATCCACACATAATATCCTCTTCCGCTGTGCCTCCCATCCCAAGAATGAACGGATCACCCCCTTCTTTATACCCTAATAGTCTGCCGATGACGCAAAACAGATTTTATCCACAGAAAGGACCACCTGCGCGACCATTCCATACTTCGACTTCCTCGCCTCTTAATAATAAACCTATTCTAAACATGATCCAAATTCGCTTTACCATTACAATGTTCCGACACTACCAAATAATAATAATAATAACAGATCTGTACATATGTATTCATCACGATCAAATAATTATTCTAGGAAACAAAAACCACCCTTGCCGATTTCGCCTAATACATTCGAACCCCTGACACCACCTCTGCCACAAACCGATAAACGATACTTATTAGCAAGGCCGGTAGCTAATGATTTTAAAGCGCCTTACTTGTATCCTGATGACGAGAAAGAGGATGGTGAAATTGATCCATACTATGATGATGATCAAAGACATGATCGATATCGACATCAACCGACAATTTCACGTCCTAGATCACGAGAAGATGATCTGTATATATCCGGTAATAAGAGATCATTATGAAAGATGGCAGGCGCCAAGTAGAAGAGACCTTGAATGGTCTCGTGACAGCAACTATAAATACCCACCGCCGCTGCCACCTCCTGCCAATCGAAGTCGAAATCCGTCAGAACCTAGTTTTAGTCGAAATGGAAGTCGTAGCAGTAGTAGAACAAGAGAGCATAAAGAATCTTCTAATAAACGTGCTAAAGATCGAGAAAGGCATTGTGGAAATGAGGATACTCATTCGGTATATTTTTATATTTGAAATCAGTTTTGATTACTATGTAAAATTTTTTGTTTTTGATTAACTTGTCTCGTATTTTTAAGAAACATTACAATAGCTTCGACACATCCAATAAACCTTCTTGGTTAGTAACCATATCACATTCGAGTCTACCTTTTTAAAAGGCGAAGATAGTGGATCTAAAACGTCATTTTGGATCCTAGTTTTGAGAGAGTAAGCATAATTTTTTTTGAAAAATAATTTCGGTATTTTTTTGACGATTTTTTTGTATTCGGTTTTAGATAACTCAAGATGATAAAGAATGGTGTGTTTATTTCGCATCAGAATCCCAGGCTCGTCGTTTTTTTAAAGAAAATAACAAGAAACGGGTGTTTGATTGTGAAATCCACTTGAATCTTTATCATCAAAACAAAAAACTCGACGATTCATCTTCATCATCTCACCATAGTCGAGAGAAACAGAGCAAAAGTAGTATTTCGGTATCATTCTTGTCATCACACAACAATGACGACAATATACAAAAAAGAGAAGAACAATCTTTTAACAATGCTCCTGTTCCGCCGCCGCATCAACAGACAGACGTTTCTCAGATTTTGCAGCAGTCCACTAAAATACTCATTGGCGAATTATCCGAGGTTTTTCAAAAGGATATAAAGAATAAGGTTGTCGGCAAATTCATCTTTGATTTTCTCGCACCAAAGATCCAAGAGCGAAAACAGCAGCGACTGGCAAAATTAAAATCCAAGAACAAGGAGAAAAAGCAACAACCGGAAATAAGTACTAGAGAATTATCTGAACTTGGGCCTTTCAAATCAAAATATATAATGTCGCATTCTGCAAAGCTGCCCTCGAAATCAAATGGGAATCGATTGCGGGATTATAATTTGAAATTCCAAAAGAGTGATAGTGATTTCCGAGATCGAAGGTCTAGTTATAATAAAGACCAAAAGCAGTCTTCATCTAAACCTACCGTTAGTAGCATAAATAGCAATAAAAGACCGCATCCGAGCTCTAAATACGACAACAGCCGGTCTAACAAAAAGATTAAGGGCAGAAAATCCCCTCTACCAACTTTTGAATTCACAGATCCTGAGAGCGAAGACAAACAAGGAGAAAAGAGTGAAGATCTAGCCACTTGTTCCAATAAGCAAGAAGCGTCATCTAGCTCTGAAGAAGGAGAGATACACACAGATGATGAACTATTTCCAGAAAATCAAAAATCTCCACACCCTAAACAAGAGTTACTCGAAAAACCTAAACATACGCCTCTTAAAGTCGAAAAACCACGTCATCAACAACAAAGACTACATGATTATTTAAGCGAGGATGATGACTCGAATCCTAACGATTTTCTAGAAGAGTTCAATAAACATGAATCTCAACGAGAACAAGAGAATCATTCTCCGGCTAATGAAGATTTAATGGATGTTGACAAAAATGAATTTTTGACTGATGATATCATTAATAAAGTAGATCGTCTGCCGAAGAGAAAAAAGAGAATCAGTCTTCAAAGACAATAAAGTAGCTTACCAAAAGTATTGATTTCACCAGCAGCGAGAGTGAGGAGGAACCTGAATTAAAACACAAGAATGACACTGCTG